ACACACACACACATACACACCTGCTACTAGATAGGTAGGTTGACCTACATTTTAGCTGATGGAAAAGATAACCCAGAAAGTATCCCACCCTCTGGAACTCACCTTGAATAGTCATTCCTAATGCATACTAAACCGATGAGAATTGTCCTTTCCATCCTCCCGTTAGCTGTGTGAGAGTACCAGCTGATGGCTTCAGGTGTGTTTGTTTGATCTCCTATCAACTGAAATGGCATTGCTCTTCCTCCTGTGTGTTTGTTTTGAAACCGAGCGGTTGCCAGTGTATGATATCAGCATCAGAACAGCTGGGGTCACAGGTTCACTGCTGTTGTGTGAGAGGCTCCATTTCTTGCTTTGAAAACAAATGTAGCAGAAAGTACAATTTTAGCAATTAATATACTCGGCTTGATATACAGTAAACGTCCTCCTCCTCCTCCTCCTCCTCTTGTGTTAGTCGCCATACCATCCATTACTCAATCCTCAGCTCTGACTGGGCAATTTACAGTATGCCTTCCTGTTCTGCTGAGTTTCTACATTACGTCTGATGGATATTTGCTATATTAGCATAAACCTTAAGTGCAGCGCTCTCCCTCAGCAGTATTCTGCTCTTTTACAAGGTTAGCTTTGTCCACACATTCCCTCGGACTGCGTCTCAAAATTAAGACTCCTTGTATTTGTGGAGGCAGGGTGTAAACTGGGATAAAGTTTTTGATTAAATAAGAAAGGGGGGATCTCATTAAGATTCCTGGCAGCAGCAGGAGCCGCACACCTCTGAAAGGCCTTGCAGTTATTGGCTTAGATTACTAAACAGTTGGTTTAAACAGATACAGCCTTTCTTTTCTCAGGCAAGGACCTTTATTGTGACGCTGCTGCGCACTAAGCAGTATTCAGCGGTGATACAGAAGCTTACACCTCACATTTCTGCTGTAATCCATCATGGTGTGTACGTACTTCACTGCTGCTCCTCCAAGTGCCTGGAGCTGCATGATTGATGGATATTACAGGCCCACCTAGGCTGGGCTGTGTGTGTGTGTATAAACTATATATACATGTACATGTGTGAGATAGAGAGAGAGAGAGAGAGGTGAGCTGTCAGCCTGGAGGTAACAGAGGGCGTGGTGCTGCATTATTAGTGCGATTTTAGCGCAAAGCCACTGGGAAGGGCAGAAGGAGAGGAGAAAAGGATGATATGGGATAAAGGAGGAGGGGGGAGGGAGGGAGGAGACAAAGGGAAGGACTAGGATAAAATGATGAAGAGTGAAAGCGGAGGCAAGAGAGAAAGGAGGATGGAGAGAGGAGAGGAGACAGAGTGGCTGGAGAAGGGAGGAAGAGAGGAGACAATGGAGGAGGGGCTGATGGGAAATGAGATGATGAGAGAGAGTGATGAGGTTAAGGCATTAGAGGAGAGTTCAGATGACTTTAACACTATGAAGGACAACCCATCTCTACCAGTTGTGTTGTTTCTGTTGGTTTTCTGAACCTTGTGGAAAACTTACCAAATAGTGTGGTGATTTACAGTGAAATGTGCAGCTGAATTTGCTCAGTTGTCCACAGTAGGACTGTGGTTAAGACTTTTGTTTAATCTGTGATGTCCAGTGACTTCTTCAAATTGCTTGTATTTGTCCAAAGGCCAAAATTTGCAATGATATAAAAGAGGACAAAAAGCAGCAGATCACTATTTGAAGAGTTGGAACTAGAAAATGGTTTGCTTAATAAATTACTTAAAAGATAAATCGATTATACAATTAGTTTTTAATGAACAGGAAATGTTGAGGTAGTTATGGTAAGTTCCTCAGACTTAAAGGTTATTAAAAAACGGTCTGATTTTGCGGCAGCATTTAACAGTCGTACTGGGAAAAATCCATCATTGAAGAGGAAGAGATACCAACTTCTATAATGACAGCAGCAACAAGACAATCTGAATAACAGTTGATCTGAAAATTTTGAAAAACAAATAATTTGTTAATTAGTTTCTATGTTACCACCACTAAGCCATTTAAAGGGTGCTTTTTTGGTGATTCTCTTTTCTGTTGTCCTGCAGTTTGTTGCGAGGTGCTGAGGAGATGGGACTGAGGAAAGCGGTGAAGCCCGAGTTTGGCGGAGGAACACGAAGCTTCTCCTGTGAGGAGGACTACATCTACGAGAACATTGAGAGCGAGCTGTGCTTCTTTACTTCACAGGTCAGTGTGTCACAAACACACACGCAGCAAGTAAATGTGCTGTCAAAGCATTACTTGAATTTACTCTCTCCTCTTGTTTCGCTGCAGGAGAGGCAGAGCATCATTAAATACTGGATGGACAATCTACGTGCCAAACATGGGGAGGTGCTTCATAATATCAACTTCCTGGAGGGCCAGCCAATCAGTAAGCTGCACACTTTATCAGTACTATGTTGCTAGACACTCTTGTGATGTTTGTCTTTATTAAACAGAAAGCAGTTCTTTGGCAGGTGTTGGAAATAATCCCTCAGTTGGTTTGGGTTTAAAAGTATTAGAAGCCATTTGTGATGGAGTTGATGGTTTACTGCTTTTGTCTTTATATATCTACAATTCCTGTTTCTTTCTCAACCAGATTAAATGTACAATCACTTCAACTTGCCTTACTGTGTGCTTTATTATTTTCTGCAGTCCCGGAGCTGAGTGCGCGGGGTGTGATCCAGCAGGTTTTTCCTCTCCATGAACAGAGGATCCTCAGTCAACTGATGAAGTCTTGGGTCCAGGCTGTTTGTGAGAAACAACCCCTAGGTCAGTGGAACAAGATACTCGTGCACAGAGACACAGTAACATGTACAACCACAAGACATGACAAAGTACTGTGACACAGTGTGAATCACTTTGCTTATGATACTGTGTTATTTTATCTTTCTAACGTATAATTTTTCTCTGGTGTTTATGTTTACAGATGATATCTGTGACTACTTTGGGGTGAAGATTGCCATGTATTTTGCCTGGCTAGGATTTTACACCACTTCTATGTTATATCCTGCTGTGATTGGCTTTGTGCTGTGGATGCTCACCGAATCAGATCAGGTAAGAGAGAAGCTATCACAGCCTAAAACAGCTTGAATCACCAACCGAAAAATGATCATCGCCCGTTCATAGTTTTAAGCATCTGCGTTTTTGTGCTCGGGTTGTTTCAGACGAGCCGTGACATCTGCTGTGTGGTGTTTGCACTATTCAACGTAGTGTGGGCCACTTTGTTTCTTGAGCGGTGGAAGAGGAGGGGGGCTGAGCTGGCGTACAAGTGGGGAACACTGGACACGCCTGCTGAATCCCTGGAGGAACCACGGCCTCAGTTCCGGGTGAGAAGAACTAAAACTCCTTTCATCTTCCTATCCTCTTCTCTTCTTTTTCAGTCCCTTTCATACTTTTTCTCTCTCTCTCGACAGGGAGTTAAGCGCTGCAGTCCCATAACAGGATGTGAGGAGTTCTACTATCCTCCATGGCGGAGGCGTGTTTTCAGGTGGCTGGTCAGCCTGCCCATCTGTATCCTCTGTCTCTGCTTTGTCTTCCTGGTCATGCTCATCTGCTTTGAACTGCAGGTTAGTCAGCTGTCAGCATCTGTTTTTTTTAATGTGTCCTGCCTGTATAAATGTAGTTTCAATGATAAAAATCTACTTACGTATGTCATTGTTTAGTTTCCTCAAATGTTATCTTCAGTCTTTTATGGGTTGATATAATAACGCAGCAAGTTTGTTAAAGTTATTTGTTGGCTGCGCCAAGAAATACAATCCAATCCGTGGAAAGAACTTAATACAAATAAATCAAGAGAAAACACCTTCTCCCTCAACACAACTGCATACACACCCTGGATGTTGTTTTTCTCGGAGCCGATGAGTAAAAAGCTACGACTGTGTCTCTGCAGGAGTTTGTGATGGGGATCAAGGAAATGCCTCGGCTAGCTCGCTTCATCCCCAAAATCATGCTAGCTATCACTGTGACTGCATGTGACGAGGTGTACAGGAAAATTGCCTGCTGGCTCAATGACATGGGTGAGAGTCAAGCTTCCAGATTTATTCATTCACATTCAGAGCAGAACATCTCTTGTAGAAGAAAATCTCAAAAAAATGTCTCTGTGGCTTTTCAGTAATATCTTGTAAGCAATAATTAGTGATTAGTTTTAATTTCATATTACATTGTTTATGAGTGGTTCAGTAGGTACAATAAGATGATTGCTATTGTTTTTTCCACAGAAAACTATAGACTCCAGAGTGCCTATGAGAAAAATCTCATCATCAAAATGGTTCTTGTGAGTGGCTTTTCATTAGATCATATTTAAATTACCAATGTGATATAGAAGCTAATTTAAAAAAATATGATTTGCTTCTTAATGAAACCTGTTTTCTTTTTCTTGCAGTTTCAGTTTGTAAATTCTTATCTCAGCCTTTTTTACATTGGATTCTACCTCAAAGACATGGAGCGGCTGAAAGAGGTAAGAAAGACCTGAATCCCTGCTGTCACCCATTAGCTTCAGTAATTCATTTGGCCTCCAACATCTGTCATTGTTGCAAACTCCCATCCTTAAATGCTTTGCTCTCTCTCCTGCATTGATTTCCATAACCATCCATCCGCACATCCATCCATTTATCCTCTGTGGAAGATGCTGCTGGTGTTGTCTCTGTTAAGGAGTCTGCAGCGGCAGGTCCGGGTCAATATGCTGCCTTCCCTCTTCTTCAAGTTCCAGATGCTTGTGGTCTCTGTTCCCTGGTTCTTCAGGGCTTTACTCAGGTCCAAAGTATGATCCCTGTATATCCACTGTTTGGCCGAGAGGTCAAAGGTCGATTTCTGAACCACCTCGGTGTTAACCTTGCATGCTCCGTGCTGATGACAACATGAACTTGAACTACCAACCTGCTTTCTATAAAATAATATAGTTTGGTTGTTGGTTGGTTGTTATTTGTCTG